GTAAAACGTGGTGGAGAGTTTGGAGGAATGGCAATACTGGAGACAGTGCAGTGGGTGATCACAAAAACCTTATTTTGAAAAGCAAACCACTCCTGATGTATTCAATCTAAGGACAGAAAGGATGGGTAGCTATCCCCTTCTGCTTTACCCATTTAAGTTCAAGGGTTAGTACAGTTCGGAACAGGCATATTTTATGAAGCAAAGATATCACGAGTGAAAAATCTATGAGCAATCTTGTGGAACACCCCATCACAACAGTGTGTGTTATATGCCATGGGAATATATTTTATGATAGCAGAATGTCAATCAGTGTGGATTTGTGATGCATTAAGTATACCAGGACAGGCAACACTCACCACAGAACGGGATCCTAACAGTAAAAAAGGAACATGTCCCTGAAAGAAAGTGAAATGTATATAACAAAGATAACTTACCTAGCCACAGTTTTACTGAAGGTTGAAGGATGGTGACAAGTGGAAGATGGTATCCCAAGGAAAAAAACAGCCACCCAATGCAAATAGTTGCAGATGAACTTATGAGTGGTAGTCCCCACACCCATCTGAAGGATTTCCTCCAATTGATAATGGAGATACCAGGGAAAAGGTAAGGTGCCTGATTTGAAATGACGACACCTAGAACAAACTTCTGGAAGAAGAAGACAAGGAGGAAAACGCCAATCGAATCAAAAGCTGAACCCAATTGATAAGTGTTGAAGGAGAAAGGTCACAAACAGGGTAATGTTGCCAGAGGATGAAAAGGTAGGAATGAGAATCATGGAAAGAAGCCATGCACAAAATGTAACAATGAAGACTATGTATGGGACATAGAAGCCTATCCGGATTAAATGAAGGTGGGAAATGGAAGGAAGCAAAATTGGCAAGAAGTAAGAATTACCTTCACAAGCTGTCGAAGTCTTGGGAAGGAGAGATTGATCAGGATAAAGGAGAAGATATGTGGAACATTACAGAGTGTGGGAGACATCGATGGCAAATATATCAGACTGATGATGCCCATAGACTAATAGGAGTAAGAAGTAGGTTGTAAGGGACAAGTGAAACAAAGAAGAGGAGGACAAAGATTTAAACGGAGATAAAGTAAGGCAGTGAAGAACCACATTGACATCCCAATCTGGAAGGATCACTCATCGAGGAGGTCTATGAATCCAGAAAGAACGTAACAACATGGAGAGGATAGGGGGCAGTAAACACAAGACAGTACAGGTAAAACTGGAAGGGAGGAAGAAGTGGTACACCCAACAATGTGTGGACCTTGTTCAACCACCAACAAGTCATCTACGAAGGAAGGGGGAAGAGAAATGGGAGAATCCAAGGAATCCCAATGAGATTCCATTGGCCATGTAGAGTCCACTGAAGAGACAGCATATGTGCCCAACCCAAAGGGATAAGAGTTTCCATAAAAGCCCACATCCCCCAAAGTGACAGAACCACACAAGCAGTAAGAGAGGGAACAAGCAAGGGTGTGGAGAACTGAAAGCTCCATCAAATGGAGTCAAAGAGGAAAAGGTTGGACCTGACCGAGATGGAAGTTTAAAAAAAAACAAGTTGACAAGATACTGGGTAGGGGACAGGAAGACTCCATTTTAGAATGAGCTAACAGAAGCCAGTCAGTCATCCATGTAGTGGCATAAGTGCAACCCCCGAGCATGTATAAGTTGGGCAAAAGCTTTGACCACCTGACAAAAGACATACAGAGCTGAAGCAAGCCCCAAGGGCAAGGCGCAAAACTGGTATACAACCCCATGATTGCTAAAATGAAGATAATGTCTGCATTGATGAGAAATAGGAATGTTTAGATAGGCTTTCGAGATATCTACCTTGGTCATCCACAATCCCGAAGAGAAAGCTCACCATAGTGGGAGAAAAGACTCCATTGTGAAATGGAGAAGATCCAGAAATTGATTGAGGCATGACAGATCGATCACAGGACGCAAGTCCTCGGTTTTCTTGGGACCACAATCAGCCTGGAGTAAAAGCCTGGGGAAGGAATGTTGACATGCTCAACAGCTCTCTGTGATAGAAGAGTGTGGACTGCCTCAGACAGATGTTGACTGGTAACAGGATCCCAAGGTAACAGAAAGGATATGGTTATAGGAGTCAACAGAGTTGGGGAAAGGAATTGGAAGACAAGTCCTTCTGACAAGACCTGAATAACCCAATGATCAGTCAAATGAGCCCCCACCTGAATGGAACCTACAGGACAGTCACCAGTACTGCTGGAGGGTTGTTGCATGATGATCTGCATGTGAGAAGCAGGGGAACCACAATAATCATGAATAAGTGGGAGTGCAAAGCTTGTGGCATGCAAAACAAGTTTACATATAGAGGGCAGCTCTGAACGAGAATAGCTAGATATGTGAGCGGAGCTAATGTACCAAATCAGAACCATATTTCTAAATTATAGTCCTCTTTATATAGTTTACAAATTTACTGTCAGCAAGGTTATATTGGCTCTATGAAAAGGAAACTAACAACACATATAAAAGAATACTTGAATTTCTGATCACCCACAAAATCTAACATAGTTGAACACACACTAGGAAATTGTGATGTAGTCATCACATCCAATTTCTTTAAGATCTTAGCTAGGGCCAATGATGAAAGAAACCTTTATAGATCTGTGATCAATGTCAAGTTAGCAGGCAGTGTAATTTTAAGATCATAAAAACATTGTTTAGTTGATGCATGTTGAACACAGAAGTGGTAAATTTAATAGAGAACCGATATCTTTTCTGGCAAGCCTATGTATATTTCTTCCCAGTACTAATGGCAGAACACTACGACATGAAATATATGAACCTTTCAATGAATTTCTGAAGAAAAATACTAGAATGAAAGTATCTTCCAGGTATAATAATTTAGTTATAAACAATACAACCTTGTATATTTAGTACAGTGTTAAGCAAAATCAAAAGTTACCTGAAGACTGGATAGGGCAGCTAGCTGATCACTATTAATACCACTGGCACCTTGTTTCTGAATTTTAGTTACAAGAAGATTCAACATATCTTGTAGTTTACTTGCTTCACTCAATGTTGTACCACAACCTTGTCCTAACAATCCCTTCTCGGTGTTAGGACTTGTTTTAGTAGATGTTCTCTCAGCTGTGGCAGGAAAAGCATTGTTCAAGTTTATTTTATGAAAAATACTTGCAATTACTTATCTAAAATTTAATGGAAATGAAATGTGAAACTACAGAAATTGTTCATTTTAGGAATTCTAAACTTGATTTTCTGAAGTATGAAATACATACACACATATACACTGTATACAAAAAATATTCATAAACAAGATGTATCATTAACTTTCAACTTACTGCCCAGTCTGTAGAGAAACATGTTTTTCTGAAAGTTTATTTATATATATATATATATATATATACATATTAACAAAAAATATGGTAATAATTATTTTTATCATTGTCAGAGAACAAGGAATACAATCCAATGACATGTTATTTAATTAGGAAGAAATGACACATCAGGGCTTGTCCAATGAGTTTTTTGTGAAGTACTATAGAAACACCATAAATGATTCAGAAATAATTCTTTTTGACACTTAAAAGGACATAATAATAAAATAAAACAATATTGTGTGTAGTAAGTAGTGAAAAAACCATAAATAGAACAAACTATTAGAAAGACTTGAAATTAATGAAACTAATTAACATATTTGTGCATCCTCTTCAGTCTGAAATAGTCATCAGAACACAGAGTAAACACTGAAAAGAGATGAAACATTATAAACTAACATGCCTAAGAGTTGATAAAAATCACAGTTTTTTAATCCACATTCCTCTTAATTTATCCCTTTTAAATTCAAACTTAGAAGTGTGTAAAAATAGCATTTCAGATCTATCACCATTTAAAGCAGTTTATGATGTATTATACTGCATGCAGTGTTTCAGGAAATTTTTTCTCTCATCTTCCAGCTAAACTGACGAGTTCTGGTTACTGGACAAAAGGCTTCTTAGAGAATGATTTGTGAGAGGCATAAAGACAGCTCTGAAATGCTATTTTTATATATTCCTCTTATTTCGAATCTGAATTGGACAAATCAAGAAGAATTTCGGAAAATAAGCATTGCAATTCACGTGATAGATTTTAGTCCAACTGATTTTCAATGCTTCCCCAGCTTTTGACATTTCAGGCCTTCTGGTGAGAAAAACCACGCGTGCAATGATTCACATGCACAAATGAATTTACAAATGCAAATCATATTGGTGCTTAAAGTGATTTGTCATGGCACGGAAATAGCGAGAAAACATTTACTCTTTAATGTTATGAATATTTACAATACACTAACAGTTACTGATTTCATCAAAACTATAAAAAAAACAAAAATAACACTACTATGTTCAAAAGGTTCATTTTAATTTTGATTCTCTTCTTCACTTTCTGTAAGATCCTCATCAGAACCATCATACAAGTTCTCCTTCCTCCTCTCACGATTTTGTATCCAATAATCTCCAATTCCTGTAACCTCGAAATATTATCAATTCAATTTTATTAACTTGGGATGTCATCTCTGCTTGATTCATGAATGATCACAATGAATTAAAGATCTATTACTATGATGCTCAATGCATTATTGTAGATAACCTATTTCCACTTTCCACACGAGTATTTAAAATGTAATGTGACATGTGGTTGAATATGGCCTTTCAAATAGCCCATGTAATTGTAACCAAGAGTTGTGACCTCATGTGTCAAATGAAAAGGACTTCATTTAAACCGTAATTTTAAATGTAGTATTAGGACCTAGTAATAAAATATAAAAAATAATCATAAATAATTACTAATTAGATTTAGGTGTTCATACAAAAAAAAAACAGTCTTCTACTAATGACAACAACTACATGTAAACACAAGCTGTGCTACTATACTGGGAAGGGGAAGGAAAAACATTAAGAAAGGTATAGTACTTTATAAAGTCAGTTGACTGAAGTCTGAATTTGCACCTATTACAAATATTAATAAACCTGTATTATATTAGTAGGTTACAAACAAGACACAATATAAGTTGACAAAACAAAAAGTTAATATAACTTGTAGCTACAGCCGTGATTCCCAGACCTGGGATTGTGACAGGGTTCTGGTGGTGTCACGAGTTTGGTGGGAAAAAAAATACTGTTTTGGGTAACACTTGTAAAGCAAAAGATTACTAAAATATGCAAAAAATAAATAACAGGGTTTATGATAAGTATTATTTATAACACATAAGGATGCACAATACTTACTTTTCATTTCATTTCCAAGCCCAAGATGTCTATCTTCTGAAATAGGCCATAATGACTGAATAAGATCCTCTGACATAAAGGAACTTCTAGATATACTACTAGCTACCTTATTAAATTGTGGTGAGCTGAGCTTAACACTTTCAAGGGTCTCTTTTGCTCCTCCTATGTTTAGATCAGTTTCAGTAAGTTGCCTAAGTTCAAGTCTAGAATTTAAACTCTGATTATATTCTCCTACATGAGCCCTTGCACTAGTTTTATTAAAATTAGGAACTGCTTCTAGGCCATGAGGAATGCTCACTAATGTTTCTTGGTTAGACAGAAATGACTGGGTACTTAGAGTATCTCCATCACTAAAATTTGAGGATTTTTCTTTAGTGTCTTCATGAACTTTAGTGCTAAAAACTGGAGACTCACGCTGAGGAGTATGTCTGAAAAATGAGAAAACACTACCACTACTTCCTGGGATTAAACTTTTTTCAGCTGCAAAACTTGTTCCTAGGTTCATTGAGCTTCCAAAAACTGCTTGACCATCAGGTTGTGCAGCAACAGTTTTTAACAAATTAGTATCCACATTCTGCAATGCAACATCAACACCACTTGAATACTGCTGTGACATCTCAGAAGACACAGATACAGTGCTGCTCTGAGCTGGAGGTACAGCAGTGCTCCCAGACAAACTCTGTGAATCTGGCAACACGGCATTCCTGCTTCCACTGGCACCACCAGAACCACCAGATCCACAAGATAGTTGCTGTTGACTAAGAATAACCCCAAGGTTTTGGCTTGTTGAAATTGTTGTGTCCTGTTCCAGACGAAGTTGACGTCTGCGTCTCTTAGACCACATTTCATGACAATCTTGCCAGTGTGGCAAACTGTTGAAAAAAATTATTTATTAATAACAACTATAATACAATTCATTCTTTGAGTGAAATGCACTCTAAAATGTGTAAAATACAACTGACTTTATCTTTTCTCTATCATTCCTATAAATCAAACTACAAGAACTACATCTCAAGTTTTGCTTTCACACTATTTTCAGGTGTTCTGATTTTATCAAGTAGCCAAGAGGGAAAACTAGAAATACAAACATTTTTGATTATTCATTGCCTAATAGTTTCTTAATTTTTTAAAGTGTATTTAGTTTTCATAGAATTATATATATATATATACATTAACACACACATCATATTACTAATAATGAATCACTTTCTCATAAATGCTCTTGTTTATAGCCCCCAAAATAAACTAATACAGGGGATTCATTATAAAACAACACATAATACTGAAGAAAGTTCAAAATGAAACAAGTTATTCAGTCATGCAAGAACTTCTCCATTTCTTTCATAAACCATATTAGATAAGTAAAAAAAGTTATTTATAAATATGATATTCTGGAAAGGGCTCAACTTCACAGCAACTGTAACTTTACTCACTGAAAAAAAAAGTTACTGCTTTAACACTAACAATATAAAGGAACATTATGCACTTAGTGTCTTGTGCCAATGTAGTTATATTAAAAATTAATGTAACTACATAATGCTATAAAACAATATTTTTTTAGCACTTCAAACAAACAGAAACACCAATTTTCTCTTCACAACTAATGCAAAAAAAGTAATAACATATATCAAGAATTTAATTTTTACTACCAACTTCATACTATTATAAAAGTCCTCAATGTTTAAAATCTGCACTGACTTGTAGTGTTTTTTGTAAATATAATTTAATCCATATCTGCAAGGGAAGGATTTTAGGATATTTGGGACATATATTTAGAATCCAAAAAGCAAAAAGAAACAGAATAAGGAAAACTTTCATTTATTAACTGATTTTTAACCCCTGAATTACTACTGGCTTTTTAACATATTCTTCTGAACTATTTATGACTTTATTAATTACAGGGTCTCAAATAATATATGAGTCACAAAAATTGCAAAGAAAGATACTGTCAACATTGCAATTAACCATGCTAATTACTTGTGTGGTCTCTTATGTATTGTACTTAGAAAATGAATAATTTCACCCAACTTCTTTGGTCAATTCTTTGCACTGGTTGTTATAACAGAAAAAATACAAAATTACTCAGTAGTGAATAATTTCAAAATAAGTCAGTAACTTGATGGTTAATAGGTTTGTTTTTTGTTATAGAGGGGAAGGGATCCTCAGTTGTATTACAACAGCCACTTCTTATTACCAAAAATAATTTTAGCTGTTGTCTTCTCAAGAAAAAAATAATTAATAATATGCTTTAGAATTGAAAGAATAAAGTCAAATACTATCAACTTAGAAGTTTTAAAAAATATGGCAAAGTATCACTTTCACAAAAATTCAAATATAGCAGAATATTCTACTAGTGGAAAATTTGATACTTTTTAAATCATAATTCCTATGAAATGATTCCACTTGGTAACAAATACTAAACATTCATTAACCAAACAAGTAGTTTATATTAAAACCCAACTTTTATACATCACATGTAAGAACAGTTAAACTTACTTTGGGGGAGGCATCAACTCAGGGCGAATATCTTTAAGCCATGAACATTTCAAGGCATTTTCTGCTGTAACTCTCTTCTCTGGATCTAACTCTAGCATTTGGTCAAACAGGTCTAGTGCAGGAGTTGGAATGCTGAAAAAAAGCAAGATAATGTTATAAGCATTAAAATTTTTCATTGTGGCTGTTATTCATTTAAAATTATATAATCACTACAAATTCAATTTTAACAACTCAGAGAATTAGAATAAATGTTGCTGTACAACTTTAGAATAATTAATACTTTTAAACATTTAAATCTGTCTTGCATGGTACAGTAACACATGGTCAATTTAGAAATCATACTTAATACACATTAAGAAAATAAATTGTGCCAACTGCTAGTTCATACTGTTCTGCTTGACATGACTGTTTGTTTGTAGTTAAGCACAAAGCTTCACAAAGGGCTATCTGTGCTGTGCCCACCAGGAGTATCAAACTTGGATTTTAGCATTATAAGTCCAGCAGACTTACTGCTGTGCCACTGGAGTTTGACATAAATTTCTTTTAATACTATCAAAACAAATAACTGCAGTAAAAACATACTGAAAAGTCAGTCATGGCACCATAAAAATCCTAACTGCAAATTAATATCTTAATTTCACAAAAAACATGTCTCAAATATTGCTAAAGCCTTCAGGTTTCAAGATGAATTATTAAAGCAAATCATTTTCAGTACTGTTGAAATAGCTATTTCTATTCTTAGATAACCAGCAGCTTTAAATTATAATATTTAAACATTTAAAAAAAAGAAACATGGGAAGCTAGCAAAAAATAATCGATCAAAACAATAACAACAATTATATGCCTAAAAAAGATGGAAGTAATCCATAGTTAAGAACTAAATTTAAAATGAAAAGCAAGAAAATAAAAAGACAAACCATATTTACCAAACCTCAACACCTGTCTGAAACATACAGCAATACAAGTTAGTCAGTAAACTATAAAAATGAATAATACTGTAAGATACGAGGACCACAAACTTTTAGTTAATATCAATAGGAAAAGTATTTCACCTATGTTACTTTATGATGAAATTTTAAATGTGATAACATCACTCTATTGTGTTATGGTGAAATGTAATACCAACTGCTCTTAGTATGCACTTAAGAAAAATTAAATTCTTTAATTACAAGTGTTTCAACCACGATATAAAGCCACAAAATAGTGGAAATGTACCTATCAGTGTTTAGTGGCAACATGCAAATTATTGGGCAGGACTGTTTGTTTGATTGTTGTTTACCATAAAGCTACACAATTGGCTATCCTTGCTGTACCCACTGCAGGTATCAAAACCAAATGTTTAACATTACAAGTCCTCAGACTTAACTTAGCCACTGGCAAACTATTTGGCAAGAATGGATTAGTGATGAACGATTAATAATAATTATTTTTATTGTTCACATTTCAAAATACTTCAAGTTTTTTTTTATGAGAGCAAAAATAATTCCTAGAAATGTATTAATCATATCTCGAATCATTTTTTGTTTTACTCACAAAGTAAATTCTTCTCTTATTCTTCTTCTATGTTGCTTCTTAGGTTTAAAGGTATGAAAATGTGGAAGGTGAATAACTTTAGGCCAGTTAGCTGGACAAGGAGTTCCACACACACGGCTGATTACCTCGAGCTGGACCATTTCTTGATTAGCTTGAAAAATTGGTTTTCTGGTAAAAAATTCTCCTAGAATACACCTGTAAAAATATATAATAAAGTATTCTTACATCAAGTTGACAGCAACTCAGACCACTTAATAAAATATTACATTACAAGACATAAAATAAAACAGAAAACAATTACAAGTTCCTTTATATAAATATTCCTGATCATCTTAGAGTGAAAAGAAATTTGTAATAAAAAAGGAGGCTAAAAAGTTTTGTAACTTTGAATTTGCTTTACGAGAAAGATTTACAAAAGTGAAAAATGCTAAATGAAACAGTCAGCACATGGCTATATGAAGTTACTGGCATAACTTAGCTATATTAAAAGAATAAAAACTTTTGAAAAATGGGGTAAATATAAACATTTTTATGATAGTATGTTGGAATTTTTTTTATTTCTTAAACCAAACAACAGTGAAGTTCTAAGAATAATCAATATTCCAGCAAATAACAGAGAACTAAATTATGGGCAATAGTTAATTCCTATATCATAAAACAACAAGTAGGTGACTTACAAGTGTGAAACTCAAACAAGCACTAATTAAGCTGGTCAGTAATGAAATAAAAAATGAGAAATTTTTTAAAAAATAATTCAAAGTATCAGGCAAATACACACATGAGTAAATACATGAAAATGAGAAAAGAGAATGACAAATTCAGTTCTTAACTGCCGATTTTCAGAGGTGAAATGATGAAAAGAAAACTATTAGTACAAAAACCTAAAACAAGATCACTTTAATACCAAAATGAACATTGCAGAAGTGAAAAGCAGTGAACTATAAATAATAATTCCACTTCCACATTCCAGTCTCCATTATGTGATGGTTACAAGAAATTCCTCTCATGAGAATCGAGCTTCTATATTTTAAGTTATACAAAATTAATTGTATTTTGAATGTAAATGTGTTAAATATTTTCCTATTTATATTTAAAACATTATTAATAACTGTTAACAAATGTTGATAGTGGAAAAGTTAGTTGAAACTTTATGCATTCAATTAAAATATATCAAATGTTCACAAACATTTTTGCATTGTGTCTTGCCATAAAGAATAAAAAGTTGGTGTGTACTAGGCCAGAGCCAATCAGTCCTATGCCAACAGTTCATAAAATTCATTTTGGAAATTAGTAAATATTAGAGAAACAAAAAAATTAAGATCATTAAAAAAGAAAACAAACATGAACCAAATCTTGATATGTTCTTTACTTCTCCAATTCTTGAGGGGGGAGGTGGATCCATGAGCTTATCATATAATAACAAGGATCATATTAAAACAAGTTATGTTGTATCGAGGCAGAAGTGTTTGAAATGTTTCCAAGGGAAACATTAATTAACCCAGTTTTCTGCCTTTGTCAAATTTTAAATGGGCAATTAGTAATATTTTTTAGAAAGTATTATTGAGTAAAGAACATAGCAGTTTAAAAGACAAATACAGCAGCAACTAAATGTGTTTGGTTAATAGGAAATTAAATAAATGGTTTAGTTTTTGATGTAAGACACACTATTCAGGAACGTGCCTAACAGTGTAAAGATGTCTGAATATGACCAGATACCAAATGCCATCCAAATTATTTAACCTGAGATAAATGAGCAAAGAAAATAATTCAATATATTCTAAAAAAATTGTAAACATAATTTTGAAACATTTCATTTACTGATACTTTTATACACTGAAGCTTAAACAAATGTTCTGAAAGGAAATATCATGGCAAGATATAACAGTTTGTGTATATACATATATATATATATATATATATATATATATATATATACACACTATTGTTATAATTAATTACGTTCGTACGGTCTTAAGTAAACTTATTACTTACTACTAGTTAGTAAGTAGTAGGTATAGTAATACGAGGAAGTAACGT